GACCATGCCATGAAAGTAACATAAAATTATCATTGTTCACAATTCTGAAAGTGATTCCATGATACCCTTGGTGAGTCCGACATAGGACTTTCCTAAATTTTCGGATGTATTTGATACAATGAATTACTCTATGGTGTGCACTCTCGAGTGACGACGAGATGTTTTTGTGGTTTTGATCCGAAACATTCAAGTAGTTTCGGCTTATACGTACAACCACGTAATGAAACCAGAAAATTTCCTACCACATGCAATCATCGCAAAAGTAACCAACTTGTAAGGGGCACATAAAGAGTGTGGCATTCGGATTTGTATAGTGCAGACTATTGCTAAGCGGAAGGTTATCCGGAGTTTAGGCGTAAGCATGAGCACAAGCCTAGCTGCGAAAATAAGCCTAAACTCGCGGGAAAACCTGATGCGAAATGTGAGCCTGGATTTGCGTTATTTTGAAACTTTGAGTTGTCCATACTTTTCAGATGACCCATTTACAAACAGTACTGCAGTGTAGTGAATGTTTTTTTTCAGAATGTTCGATGATAGTGATAGTGAGTTGATGAATTGATCAGTTGTTGAATTTCAGACGTTACGGCGCAATGGAAGGAGGAATTATTGGTTCCGACATTGGAGGACTCTTGGGAATGTTTCTATGAAGATCATATTCTAACATGCATTCACGAGTGCAACTCAGCGCTTTCCATGTACATATTCTCTTGCAGTGTTAACTATAACAGCAAGAATAAATTATTATACGATGATTGTATTGATGACACTGAAGTTACAACCTATGAGATGTGCACATTTAACACAACGCTGTCACTTAAATTGAGAACGTTGCTTTGCTCTTATTGAGATACTCTTCCAAAACACTGATTATTTCGGGTGATTTCGGTTCGGCATGCTCGGCTTCCTTCATCGGATCACGACCAAAATTATCCTCCTTACGAGGATCTGCACCGTTCCTTAACAGAAACTCGACCATTTCGCAGCTTCCAGACGCAACAGCCTAAAACAGTTAGTTAGTCTAATGTTATGATCAACGTGAACAGAGCAATGTTTCATCATGAAAGTGTATTGAAATGCACAGATTGATAGTTCAAAAGATACAGCGTGTAGAGCCGTTCGACCGTCATAATCACGCTCGTTGATATTCACGCCGGCGGTGATCCAAGCTTCAATGGTTGGCACATCTCCNCTATACGAAACTGACAATTTACGGAATGGTCTCGGAAAGCGAAACGACTGCAATAATGTATGCGATTTGGATAAGCAAACCTAGCTCAAGTGGATTACATATGATTACTGCATCGGCTTCTTTCAACGCCTTAATACAGGCGAGATTCCTTCGTCGAATAGCATTCATCAACGGATTGTCACCCCATTGGTCTCTATAATTGAAATTTGTGAACCTGAAGCCATCCATGAAATTGCTAATTCGGACTGAAGCTTGCACTCCGCGAAACCATAATAAGTATCAAGAGCAGTGATGGATGTGTATCATGTAAACTGGAGTGAGATGCACAGAGCACGAAACACTCATTGAAGAAGGAGAATATACGATGAATCGGAAGTTCAGTGGAACTCGCGATCCGATGATTAAAAAGCACACATTTCCGCGCCTACTTGGCATATCACTGAATCTCGTTTCGTCAACAAAATGCACCTGGCATGAACATTCGCGCCGTGTTTTAGCAGATATAAAACGACATCGGTGTGACCCGACGAGGCTGCAACGTGTAGCGGTGACCTTCCGTTGTAATCTACAGCCGATAGAATCGCTCCACTGTCACGCAAGTTCTCAAGCAGCTCCAAATCACCATTCCTGGCCGCATGACACAGAAGTGGAGGGAAGAGTGCATTCCGCAACAGTTGAATCTCTTCCGAAGAACTGACCCGAAGGAATGTGGCTAAGCGTGGTACTGAAACAAGTGCACAATGACCAATTCGTATTGCAGGAAAGGTACTTGCGCTGACTAATTTCAAAATTTCACTGAATTCAACAAACTGAACAAAAATTATTGCGAGAGGATGTGTCAAAAACCAAGTACAATTTCCTTGTCAGTTATTCTCCGACCGATCAAGCGAAATTGTTTCAGCGAGCAATCGTCGGAAACATTTTATGACACGCGAGATTTTCAGTTGACTTCGTTCGTAAGGTTTATCAACAACATTCTGCCGAAAAATANCAGACTGACTAATTTCGAGATCTTGCAGAGTCTCCGAACGAGCCACAGTCATTTCACCGCGGAGATTGTGTTGCATCATTCGCCTTTTCGTTGGCAGATCCCATTCGTCCTTCGCAATCACATACATCAATTTTGTCATTGCAGCTTCGATGGTCATATCAGCTCCGGAAATGACACCAATATCATACAAAATCTGAAATCAGAATACTTCTGCAGTGACAGAGACACGTCTTGCGGCCATTAGTTCTTTGTAAACTGTCAGAATGTCAGTTTCATATCATATTCTCACCAATAACACCACCATATGAATGATCTTTGCGGCTGAAATGAGCACAATGCAAAGCCGCAAGCATTCTCTTCGATGAAGAATCAGAGCTCTCACAAGTCGAGAACTTTCATGAAATGTACTTCAAGCATCATAAATTAAAGGTCTGAAAACAGCAATAAATAATTCTTCAGCTCTTTTATGCCGATAACGAACTTTTCCATTCTCGTATTGCTCATCCACCATACCACGAAGACACTGTGAACAATTCACGACAATGCATCCTCGCTGAATTGCCGCTTGAATTTCAGCGATAATATCGCATCGTTTTGACGGCATATTTCCACAACCATAACTCTGTAGTACGATACCTTGAGTTGGTGGTTGCAAAGCTGCACGAACCTGCAAAAAATTTTACAATTGATCAACGTCAGATATCCACCGCATGAATCTGCAAGTGTTTCAGGATGAATTTTTTCAAGCAACTTTCAATTCAAATGTTCTCCAATGACCGAGAATTATTTCCCATTGAAAGTGCAACCACTAAATTCCATTTCTGAAATCTTTCAGTCCACATTTGATCGGTGCTCTTCACGATCACATTTGTTTGGCGTGATAGCCAATGGAATTCGTTTGAATCATGGAAGTAGGAAAGAATTTGAATGAATTGTTGTTATTTGATTCGTTATACATTTATCCTTTTCAGTCGTGGAATTCATTAGCTTCGGGAGTAGATTTCAAATTTTATTTGTTAATCTCTTATTTAGGATAAAATCAAACTGCAGACGAGAATAAAATTGTTCTGACCGAACTGATCGATATTGACGGAAATATGTGAAGAAGGCTGACATCACGACACAGTTTCTCTTGTACTTTGAAAGAGCTCAGTGAGGATGTTCGGAAAACTGACTCAAAATTCACTGAAAACAACGAACTGTAATCATTATTCAAAATAACGAAGATTTCACATGAAACATAAAACGATGTAGTTCTTGCATGCTTGAATTGATTGATGTTTCATTCATTTTTCTACCAGGAGAATATCGGCTACGCTATCCGACCAATTTTCTGATCGAATTTCATAGCAGAAGGTGGTTCTTGAATGCCAATCAGACCGGATTTTTAGTTCATTTGAAAGGTTCACAATAGACGATTGAAAAAAATTGCAACCAGAAATGCATAAAATGAATAAAATTTTCTATGTGGAAAAAAGCAGTGTAAACGAATACCTACCATTAATAGTGATTCCAAGATTAGCGATCGGTGACATGTTTGGACTATCGAATGCCTCCATATGAGTGTTATCCAATTTCGTGGAACGATTGCCCCTCAGCAGTTTGTGGTTGAAGTGAATGGTCACTTCAGGAATGTCAAAACAACCAGCCACTACCAACGCACCAATAAGATTATCACGTCCATCTGATCGTACCTCACAGATCGGTATCTGCATACACTGATCATGATAATTACAGAAACATCGCACATAACTGAGTGCTGATAATATCTGTGATACTGATAATTTTATTGAATATGGACTTCACCTGAGCACCAGTAATAACGACGGGTTTACCGAGATGTTCGAGCATGAACGAAAGGGCACTTGCTGTGTATGCGAGTGTGTCGGTGCCATGTAATATGACAAATCCATCGTATTGATCATACGATTTTCTGATATCAATGCCAATTCTGATCCAGTCATCAAGTGTTACGTCGCTTGAATCCAGCAATGGGTCATATTCTGACATCTGAAGCGATCGCTTTTAGTTCATGCAAAATATCCTTAGATGATGGTGCAATTCAATGCTTAACTGCATCAAAACAAACAATTTTTATATTATTGCAATTTAGATTCGAAGCATCCTCAATCAGTTAATTTTTTAGATGGAATAATCTGAACACTTTCGCATTTTNAAGCAAATGCTTTGATCAAATGGAATGCTATGAAGTACACTATCATTCAGTGGAAGCATGCTACCAAGCTATTCCAAATGGAAGCATTTCTCGAACTGCCGACGACAACATTTCAGCGTGTTTCACATCTCATTGAAACATGTACAGCATATCAATGAGACATTACTTGCGAATCAAGATTTGTCGATGACTGATACGCAATCATCTGATTCAGGTATGAAGAGTAACTGACGAATGAATATTCCTACGTGATACTTACCCAATAGACAATTCGTTTATCGGTGAACTTTAATGGCGGTAAGCAGTAGGGTTTCACGTAAGCATCCGAATGATTCCTCTCCACATATTCTTGATCATTCAAATGCGGTATTTTACGAATCACTTGCGGAAGATATAACGGTTCTGGATGATACACTGAAATTCCGAAAGAATAGCAATCATAAATTGCGCACTTTGGACTGTATTTGAGCCGGTAAAGTGGGAATATTATGTCGAATGAATTCTCAATTAGAGTCGGCCTTCGAACAGGAACCGCTTACGTCTCGACTTTTACTGCTCATGCGAGTTTTTGCTATCTCTAACAGCTTGAACGTATCGTCATTGAGTATATTTTAAAAAAATGAAATTTGTCCTTTTACAGTTCACAAAATTCCGATGTCGCATCAAAATAATCTGTTCATTTTTTCAATCGGTTTCACTTGTTCATTAACCGCAGACTTAAGCGATTAGTGATTTCGTTATGCGTCAACAGATTAGCAAATAAAAATTTATCAACAACAAATTTGAAATTCCCATACAAGCATCCGAAGGATTATGCCACTTCGACAGTTGAGCATTCCAGTCATAAAAATTGCATTCTTATGCTATCAGTACTGTGATGTTTGATGCTGGCCTAATCTGGTGAAAGTAATCCGAGTCGGGAATTTTGTCACTTCATCAGATTAATTTCTGATCACAATTAATGATTTGCTCATTATTTAGATTGTAGTATGAAAATGGCAAGGCATGCAACTGATTCAAAATATGCCGTTCACTGTTGCTTGGATAAAGTAGTCTTAATGAATTTCCTAGGTCACATCCCTATGCATTTTCACTTGTACGTCTATGCATGAGAACTGCTCAATTTGTGCTTTTGTTTACATATATCGGATTTTTAGTCATTGATTCGAAGTGAGAAGTGTTTAATGGCAAAAACGTTCCGTGTTACTGATAAGGAATTGAGTCCTTTGCCGTTAGAGAGATCAGATCAAGAACTTTTGTCATTGGAAGTAAGTCTGAACGTTATCAACATTGTGCTTACTGATAGCGAACACAGACTGAAATGTCAACAAAACAAAACCGTAATGTTCAAAAACGTGTCTTAAATTCCATTTTATTGCCTGCTTTCATAGCACATTTTTTCAGCGAACCTTCACCTTTGAAATGATGACGATTCATCAGCATGTATAACGAGCATGCATTTGGTGTAATTTAAATTGAGCGAAAGCCTACGTTGATGTTGAGACATCAAACAGATCGCAAACAACTCCCACTTTCAATTGGTTTCATAGGTCAGGAGCACATTATAGGATTGCGTTAATAACTCGAGTGTCATCATGCTTCAGTATTCTCATTTTGCGTCCTATTGTCTCCTTTGAAGGCTCATGTCCAGAGAGGAAATCCCAAACTGCTCTCAATGAATATGGTATCCGTCAAACCTTTCCCATTCTTTTTCATCCCAATCGTTCCACCAGTATAGAGAACCAGAACTCGCGATTCAGATACGTGCAAATTGTCGACAGCCGACACGGCTAAGTCTTCCGATACCACCGAAGCCAAATGCTGCAAACTCGTTGGTAGCGAATGAAAGTAGATTCGAAAGTTACAGCCTAATGAGTTGGCATCGAATGATTGCATTGCAAAAATTCTTTGGTTACGACTGATAGATAAACGCTTTCACACGACTGTAAACATGAATGTTTTTTCCTAGTCAATAAATATCACACAACAATAAGAGATTTCATTTGTTTGCGATCAAATTTTGGGGTGAAATTCCACTTGCGATCAAATTCCACTGCGAGTTCTTTCACCTCTCACCAGATATACGCTATTTTGTTGGATTCGAATAAGTTTTTAACAATTTGGCCGCTGTGTATCATTGATTACTGTTGAGTGGTAACCGAGGAACGTACGGTTGCTGATGTAACTCTGGCCTTCGATCCCGTTGGAACAAGTAGCTGCTTTGGAGTATGAGATTTATCAATTGGTTCCAGCTCATCGCTGCTATCTCGCGTTAATGTGGCGACACGTTTTATCAGTTGAGGTGCACTCTCTGTCATTGTAACCTGAAAGTAAGCAAAACTTTTACATTGAACAATGAAAGGAGGATTTCGGTGCTCATTAATAACTCAATTCAACGGGCGTATGATAAGGACAAAAAGAAAATATCAAGTTAGACGTATTAGAAGGAACAATGTAACGTCAAAACAAAATCAGACGTGTTCGAATGAGGAAGTGACCAATTTGTTTGAAGTGAAATTGATGAATATCATCAGAGCAACAGCAAAACGAAGTCATAGAGATTTTATCGTGAAACAGATCGAAATTAAAGGATTATACGAGATTATAATTGAAGATAGTAAAACAAACAGTCAAAGAATGTCATCGAGAGAATATGACCCCGAAATAGGATTTTAGCACTGGAAATGGTGCAATCCAACTCACTGAAATGTGTTTCGTTGAAAAGCGTCAATTACTCAACGCCAGTTTCTTGGACAACTACGAACAACCTCAGTTTTGATCACTTCAGAAGAACTTTTAATGATTCACTCATCTCATCAGATCTCTCGATTTTGTTCATGATTTAGAATGGTTCGAATTATGAACAGTTTCCGATTATGTGACTTTGAATTCCGTATAGTTTTCGTTTTTACAGTTGTCTCTTCTATTCTCATGAACTCAAATCACTTGCTTAGGTTGATGTTATACCCTCAATTGAAAGTATGCGATGGCTTCATTACAACCCGCAATACGGATAGTCGCAATGCTATGACAATTCCATAATGCATCAGTAGTACGAAAAATACTCATATAATTTCACGAAGGAGAATTTTTCTGACCAACTATGAGAAATGGTGAACACGCAGAACAGCGACACTAGCAGTACCTCATTCCATTAGAATGCGCATAATTTTAGTGATCTACGGTAATGATCACATAATTGAGAAAAAAATTATAGTATCTTGAAATGATTTCAAAAATGGCGACTTTTGTGGTTGTTTGATGAAGTGATTTTGTGAATACAATGAATTCTCACTGAATTGGATCGCTTTTAAAGCGCTTTGAAATGGGAACATAAAAACATCAGATTAACATGAGTATTCAGTAAACTGATAAAAGATGAGCGACAGTATCAGAAAGGACTACAAAAATACTCATTGAATGCGTCGATGATGGAAGCGATAAGCCTGTCTGACCGCTTGTTGACTGAAATATTTGTGATGAGATTATGCGTAACAATACTTTTTATAAAGAGTTCGGTCAGGCCACTTTTTTCCTCTTCAATGAACATACCTTATCGAATGTTTCAGATGATTTTGGTTGATTTTTAGGTTCCTCTTGCTGGAACTCGAAGGGGGCATCATTATCGCTGTTGTTAATGTTATCATTACTAACACCGCTATTATTACTAAAATCACTTGGTTATACTTATCACTTTATCATTATCACCGCCCCTCATATCATTTCGCCACTCTCGTCATGCCTTTGAAATTATCAATCTTTTTATGAGTATTCGCCTGGTTGTGACTTCAACAACTTCATGAAATCGCATATTCAACGGAATTGTTTCAGTCAGTCGCTGTATTTTGAAATTCATCCCAATATCACAAATTCGTTTATTCTCTGCACACAACACTAACAATTCATTCCAATCTACTCATGTCAGCGTCTCTATAAAAAATGTTCATTTCTAAGCGATCGCTGATATCCCCCAAAACGATCACCTGAATCAGTGTTGACATGACTGACATGAAACGGAATGAACTCATCAATGTTATTTAAGCATATAAATGTTCACGTAAACGACACGACACATTAGATTGGTGGTGGATGGGTATGCTTTTGTGTGTTGGCGCCATCTTTTGTTTTGCAGTCGATTCTGCAGCGCTCACTTTTGCTCATTGATTTATGCGTATGGATCTTATGAGTGATATTTCCTTAAGTATTCTTATTGATTTTGGTTTCTTTTTCTTGTGGTAATCCTTAGTGAGATGAGATTAAAAGATAAGTGAATGAGTTAGTGAAGTTAGTTGTTTGGTGCTTTTTAAAGGCCGTTAATAAGTTAGTGAAGTTAGTTGTTTGTTGCTTTTTAAAGACCGTTAATGGGTTGGTTGCTTTTTAAAGACGGTTAATGAGTTGGTTGCTTTTTAAAGACCGCTTCACGCTGTGTGTTCTCTAAAAATGTTCACTGAAAAATTATAATTTTGTACTTTTTTACAGATGTTTCAATAAACCATGCAAAAATAACACTTTCGCGCAATTTCGACTTGCGACTACCACCCGGTGCTATCAGCAGCATAATCCACCCGCAATGAGGTGGTCCGACGGAACACAGTGAAGGGGTGCACTGTAGCGAATCGACTCTCAAGGGCACTCGTGGAGGCGAACAACAACTCGAGAACTGGCTTTACAACCCGAAGTTGATCATTCGACCATCTCCGAACACCTTCGTTTGACTGGAAAGGTGCAAAAGCCGGACAAGTGGGTTTCACATGAGTTCGACGAAGAGCAGCAAAATCAGCAGATGCAGTTTTGTGTTTCTCTGCTCATTCGTGAATAACACGAAACCTTTCCGCATCGTTCAATTACATGTGACGAAAATTTGATCTCACTGACAATCGTCGACGTTCGGCGCAGTGACTCAATAAGTGTAAGTCTCCCAAATCTATGCCGAAACCAACCACCTCTACATCCGAAGAGGGTCACGGTTCGTGAAGTAGTCCATTACATGTTGTTGTAACCTGGTCAAACAGCAACAACACAATCATATTGCAACGAATTGGAATTGGTTTCCCAAAAACTAGTGAAAATTCGGCTGACTTCCTGACTCTAGTCCTGCTACATAACAACAGTTGCCCACACATTTCCAGAAACACTACCCGTGAACTGCAGGAGCTGCATTGGAAGAAACCCTTTCTCATCCGCCATTTTCAGCAGACTTGTCCCAGACCGATTACCACTTTTTCAAGTATTTTGATCATTTTCTGGAGAAAAAATGGTTTGGGAATGAAGATGTTATCGAGACGGCATTCAGTGATTTCATCGCATCCAGGAATCCGGAGTTCTTTTGCAAAGAAATATGCGACCTTGTATCTTCATGGCAAGAATGTGATGCTTGCAATGCTTCTTTCTTATACAAAGGTTGGATTGGAAAGAATTTACATTTTGAAATTTCCGTACGAAAAATGCAAAAGCATATCCATCAACCGCATAAAATGTTATTTAAACAAATTTCGAATGCCAATTTCAAGCATTCTTAATGATAAGCTCACAAAGAAATATTTGGAGCAATAGGAAGTAAATAAATTATAGCAATCAATTAGTCTGAACAACTGAGAAAAAACAAACGTTTAACAATAATATATTCACTCCTGACGCGAGAATAAAGAACTGAAATAAAGGAAAATATTCTTATGCAAATTCCTCAGACAAAGCCGTGATTTCTATAGCATTTTTCAATGGAATCTTAACTTCTATTGATTATTTGGTGCTGGGTTTCTCCCTCCATTCTTAACTAATCGACTTTTGATAAATCCTTCTTTGACCTCCAGCTGATCTTCAATCAGTTGTGAAAGAACTTTCGGAAATGAACTTCAAGCCCTAGTGAAACACAGAAGAAGAATGATACACAGGATATTTTCAAGACCAGACCTTCTGGAAGTTGCTGAATGAATACTTATGGATGTCATTATAAAATGCTTTCTCCGATTACAAAATATAAATTACACGTGTATATAACATGGAAACACTTTCACAACCTTTCATGATTGGAGGAAACAGATCGACGTTGTATTGGTGAATGTAAATGATCAATGAGTCTTGACTGCGCCCCTCTGTGAACGATAATAATCATAATCATCCACGCTTATCAGAACTGAATATATTACGATACAGTGAGAAAGACTCAGGAGGGAATGAAAATATCGCGATGAAAACTGTGAACAGAGGTAAGAAATCAAATGAGTGATGTTCGAAAACCAGAACGCAACAGACCAAGCAAATATCAGTTCCTGAGAACCATGGCTATCAGTCGAGGAAATTCTTTACTCAAGAAGTCTTCTTCCATCACTAACTGAAATCGCAAAATCAGTTCCTACACCTTTCACATCACATTGATTTCACATATTTCGACTCGAACATTCAATGAAATGGAAGCAAGCAGATGCAATGAAAAATGTCACAATTACAAGATATCATCAATACAACAACGTAATTCCTACGCTCTCTAATCTGTACGATTGAGCACAATCAAAATGATCCCTACCAGCTGATCATGCGATGAATTTTGAAAAGCTGTTAATTGGAGCAATAGTGATATCATCAACTGATGTCATTACTCTCATTATTCAAACGTGAATTTCACTTTTGGTATACAACGGTCATATTTACTCGTCAACATTTCTGCAACTGAGTGCAGGCCACGCCGATCAGCTTCGTCAATCGGTGTACACTTCGCATTATCAACATTTTTTGGATTCGCACCATTCGCCAGCAAAAATGCAACCAATTCTTCATTCCCGCTCGAAACAGCCTGAAACTCAATTTTTCAACTAAAGCGATCAAAACGATCACAATCGATTCCTCGGTCAAAACAACATTACGGATGTTGAAGTTCAATCAGTAAATCGAAAATTCCATGCTACAATGATCTCACAATATGTAACGCCGTTCGACCATCGTAGTCCTTCTCGTCAATATCGATTCCAGCCGCGATCCACGCTTGCAGGCCGTCTCTGTCACCTCTGCTCGCCAGTAGGCACAGTTCCACACCTTAGAAAAGGATCACAATTCCTGCTGCCTTTGGTAACGAGTACTCATCAAAGTGTATAATTGCACAATGAGTTTAAATCAGAGCCAAAACATAATCGCAACTTTATCATTCAACCTTATTCTTCTTCATTTGTCTGACTGCTTCAACGCTGAATGATTTCTGAACCTGAACTGGTTCCTTAGAATATCAATAGAACATTCCTTACCTATATCAATGGGATCACCCACTGGACAAGCGCCGTCATCGCGCAATGCTTCGATGCATGCTAAATTCTTCGAGCGTATCGCACTCATCAGTGCATTTTCGTCATAGTTATCCCTGCAAATGATTACCGTCGCACACCGAAAGCTTTGAATGTTTTTGCAGACTGCTAAATCTGCAGATTTTGTGGACGTTTTCTGGTGAAAAGTTTCCGTCCGACTGTTCGAAATTACCCACAGTGTGTCATGTGTTTTTGCTGATTGATGGACGGAAATTTTGGTCTTTCAATGATACAATAGAACGAACGATAATGAAGTGATAACATAAAAGCAAACAAAATAAGTGCCAAAGCAAATAAACGAGCAACTAACTTCAAATGTACGCTGACACCTTTGCTGAGTAAGTATCGTACCACGTCACCGTGACCCTTACTTGCGGCAACATGCAACGCTGTACGACCGTTATAATCGGGTGTGGACAGAATGGCACCGCTTTCACGAAGATGTTCCAACAATTCGATATCCCCTGCGCTGGCTGCGTGGCATAAGAGTGGTGGATAAAGTGCGTCACGTAGTAACTGCACTTCTTTTGAGGAACCGATTCGCAGAAATTTCGCCAAACGAGGTACTGAAGTTACCTTTTGCTTAACTTTAGTCCAGTTAAGTTCAGGTATAAAGCGAGTTGAGATATATCTTTTATGTTTCATTCGCTGGTGTTTACTCAGATGATTGTCAAACGTGATGATTGAAGAAACTGAATTGTTGAATTCAGAAATTCAAACTGAATGCATGGTTTTCTTTCGTGGAAATTAATGACAAAACCAACTGATTTCGAGCTCATGTAGAGTTTCTGATTGAGCAATCGTCAGTTCACCACGAAGATTCCTTAGCATCATCTTCCGTTTCATTGGCAAATCCCACTCATCCTTACTTAGTACATATGCCAGCTTTAATAGTGCTGCCTCAGTGGTCATATCCGAACCAGGAATCACGCCAACATCATAGAGAATCTGAAAATGTATCAACTGGTGACAGCGCGACAGGAAACTGAATAATATCGACGGAATTTTCCTGTAATAAATCTTATTTTTCCAAATGGCATAACCAATTTCGAACCTTCTCTTCAGTTCATTTAAATTTTGCGAATCGACATTACATAGTTTATAAATAGAAGACGCAGAGCCTAAGAGCATAAGTTGATGATACAGGGTGTATCATCGTATAACTTAAGTCTGATCAGTTTCTACAAACGTTGAACCTTAGAAGTTTCATTGCACTCAACGAACTTAACAAACCTTGCCAGTCAAATAGTGCACGTCTACTTGACCGCGAACACACTGTGAACAATTGACAACGATGCAACCCCTGTCTACGGCTCGTTTGATTTCTTCGATAATATCCGTTCGCTTCGACGGCATATTTCCTGCACCGAACGTTTGCAGCACAACGCCTTGAGTGGGAGCACAAAGAAAGGCTCGAACCTGAAATCGCAATCTTCCTGTGAATAGACAGTCGTATTGTCCAAATGTGTTCACGTAAACTTTTCACAAACCCACAAACCGAATCAATGGACATGGAAGGGAATATCCGTAGAAGGCCAACATTACGACACAACCGTTCGTGTACTGTGAACGCTCCTATTGTGGAACTGCGGAAAATCGATTCATGATTCACTTAAATAACACAGTCCAAATATATGCAGCTCTTCGATGCTAAACAATTCACATAAATATGTTCATGCAACAGTTTAACGTTTTTGATGTAAATCCACTCTGTTATAGCTGGATAATAAATTGCAGAAAAAAGAATTATAATATCATAGATGCTCATATTCATAGATGATGAATGCATCTCACTGAAGAAAATACAACAGATTCGGAAGACTTTCCTTCATGGTTCCACGNAAATCGCCTTCGAAAGACTGGACGAAGCACACAACTAACCTTTGACATTGATTTTCATCTCAGCAAGTGGTGCCATATTGGGACTGTCGAATGCCTCTAGTGCACTATTGTCGAGTTTTGTTGATCGATTACCGCGCAGCAGTTTGTTGTTGAAGTATACTGTCACCTCGGGTATATCATAATTCGCAGCCATAATCAGTGCACCAACCAAGTTCTCACGACCATCCGAACGAACTTCACAGACCGGAATCTGCATTTGTTCACGTAATTGACACTTCCTGATCAGCTCTTTCAACGGCCTAAGCTAACAAATGAAGCCACCCATGAGAAAATTCCATCAACAGATTTTATCAAATTCGAACGCAAATATCCCATCTGAGCACAATGCAACGTTTCATCGGGATCATATCTTGATCACTTCAACTCTATACAAGTTTTCCATCAGTTTTGAAAGACTTTCCTCTGAAGTGAATGAATAAGATAATTCAGGAAGTGGATAAATTTGATTTGCGAATGATTTTGAACATGAAATGTGTACCTGCGCACCAGTGATGATCACAGGTTTACCAAGATTCTCAAGCATAAATGATAATGCACATGCGGTATAGGCAAGCGTATCGGTACCATGCAAAACCACAAATCCATTATATTGATCGTAAGCCTTACGAATATCTCCACCAATTCTTATCCAATCATCAAAAGTCATATCCGATGAGTCCAGTAACGGCTCATATTCCACCATCTCAAATCGCAAGACAATTATCTCGATTGGCTTAGCAATTTAGTTTTATCAGATCGAATTCTCACTTCTGAGGCAACGTATCATACTCATAAATATAAACAGGAAACCGATTTGTTTTCAAAATTGTTAACGAGTAATTCTTCACTCCTTAACAATTTTGAAAACAAATCGATTTCCTGAATTCCCTAACTTAACAATTTTCTTAACTTAACTTAGCTAACAATTTACTCCTTAACAATTTTCTGTGATCCAATTGGTCCAAAACTGATACTTCAATAGCATGAATATTGTTTGAATTAGTTTCACGTCCAAATAGCAAACACTTCAAGATAACAAAAGAACTTGCTCACGAAATATTCCCAGATGAAAATGCACATAAAACGAAATAAATCTCTTTGACGAGTATTCCAATAAACTGACCCAATAAACAATTCGTTTTTTCACATTCTTCACTGGTGGTAAACAATACGGTTTGATACGCGCATCACCGTAATTTCTCGCGATATATTCCTTATCGTTCAGAGGTGGCAGCTCTCTGATTGCTTTCGGCAAATAGTACGGTTCCGGACAGTAAACGTCATCCACACACTTCATACCGATCGTTCCACCTGTGTACAGCACAAGCACTCTTGATTCTGCTGTGGATGACTTCTGGGTGAACGCGGCTGTTTCTAACGATGCTAGATCCTCGGAGACAGCCGATGCGAGTCTCTGAATTGAAACGAGTATGTTTCATGGAAGGACCGTGATGAATGCTACTCGTTAACAACAACTTACACCCGCTGATGTGCACTTTATCGATGTCCCTGTATGTACCATAAGTTGCTTGGGAGTATGGAATTCGTCCAGTGGAACTGAGCCATTTTCTACCGTTTCGCATAGACCAAACATTTCTGAAATTCACGATCCTATCTGTGCTGTTTGTATTCATAGCATTCGTTTCTGTTAGTTCAAAACTTGTGGTGATCCAACTTTTGCTCGAATGAAACAGCAATTTCTTGCATTGTTGAAAAAACAAAAGGCTTATTCAATGTGAAAAATTGGATCAAATTTCTCATATGATAAAGCATTTAGTGAACCGTATTGAAGTGCGATAATGCCAAATGCTGAAAAACTGAAGAGCGTGCGACGATTGATAACGTTTGTATGTTTACATAAAGGATTTGAAGATGTCCTCGAGGAATGTTTGGAATGCAAACGAAAATTTTCGAACGGTCATAAAACTATCGGTTAAATGAACGAAATTTTCGATGAAACCGACGGAAGAAATCGAGGAATAATTTTCTAAATGAAGTGAAGAAATTCGAAGAAGTCGTGTTCGTTGTAGAGGAAAATAAAATTGCAAGAAAGTAGCGTCCATTGTATTCAACAGTGATTTAAGCAACATTCTTTCTTCTCACGCTGACAAAAGTTCTCATGACATTATCATCAACAATCAGACATTGAAAGATTGCGAATCGGGAAAAAATTTGAGAAAAATGAAACGAAAGAATTGACCAATTACAGACGAGTACACATGCTGGGATGATTGTTCTAACGTTCATATATAAGTAATAGTAGAGAAGATAAGCGAGCGAAATAATGCGATAGAAACGTGGTTCACGATGGAATTACTCACAAATTTGCCACTTTTAAATGAAAGCAAACGAATGAATGTAGTAGACATAAGCACAGCATAAGCAAACGCTAGAATTGCTTGTCATACTATTGTTGCACTGCAATATGCAATCTTACATCATCGTCGTGTTTCGTTTCATTCAAACGTATTCCGTTCGAAATTTTGTCGCTTAAAATGCTATCGCATTGTTCTCTTATCTTCTTCGCAAAAAAAGTATGGCGATGATTGGCATGAACGAGAGAAGGTTGTTGAAACCATCACATCGAGTGATTTGTGCTGATGAAATGAAAACGTTAATAGCAACTGACTGCTAGTAAAATTAGTGCGTGCGGGGACGGAAAAAAGTCGAGAACGGAGAAAGTCAAGAACGAAATTTTGCAGTCGAGGAACCCAAAAATGTGGTCGGCTCGAAATTGTTGCGGTCGAGGTCCCCTAGACTCTCCAACCCTTAGTATTAGTATTGCAGAGATGGAAAAAAAGTCGGGGTGAGGAAAATCGGGGACAAAATTTTACAGTCGAGAAACACGAAAATGTGGTCGACTTGATGACGGGGTTCCGAAATTTTCCGATCCCCACATCGCATTGATTGTAAGTAACATTTGAATTTGTTATGAAAACTGGAAAACAGAATAGAATTCGCATGTTAATCAACTGTAGTTGTCAAATCTATCCATTATTTATTTCGTAACGATAACTGCTTGATTTCATACCGGAAATTTAACAACAGCGAAGGAGCAACAAATTTCACTGTGGTGAATAAGTGGTGGAAAAAAAGCTTTTGAAAATCGCTAGGTATAGCTGAATCGACCGTATCAATCGGGCTTTGATCTGCTTGCGCAGAGCAAACTGATCGCAAAGCTTCTTGCAGCTGCAGAAGTACATGAGACACGCGAATGTCCTACCTATCACTGAGTTTATGCAACAGTTAAAGGTAAAGTTTCGTCCAAATTGAGGACGTAAAAAAACGCCTATGTCAACCGATTGAACAGGCTTTTTGCTGACTACCGGTGCTAGAAAACCAGTTATGGACGAGGAAAATGTTCATTGTCAAACTGTATTGTTATCTGTCGAACTCATTAACCATCAGCAATGTTCAACAGGGCTAAAACTGTTTCGTGAAAAGGTCTTTCAAGAATTTCATTATCTCTCCTGAAGTACTCCCATAAACTTTTTTGCTGATTGTTTGCTGCTTTGCTGACGTAACATCCGAAATGACGGCGTC